TTAATTAATAACAGATACAATTAATTAGTCAGGGATATAATTAATTAGTCCAAAGTTACATAAATCACACAGAAGGCCCGGTGTAAATTTCCTCAGGGTACACGTGAAGGGGGTCCTTGATCTTTTGATCATATTTGACCGTTATCAGACTGGGCACCACCTACACTCTGTTTTTAGGGCCCCTGGCAGGGTGAGTGGGTGTAATTGTAAAAGCTTCAGAAAGTCTGATTGTTGGCCAATATTGTCATATCATCAAATTGTCAAATAAAACAAGAGTACCGCGGGGCAGAAAAAATACGCCCGTCGAATGCCATATAGTATTATATACTTTCTTACATTGAAATAAGATGTGCATCATTCTAAGAGTGGTTAACTATATATATGCTATAAAATCAAATACTGAAATGAACAAAAGGCAATAAATTTTGCAAAAATTGTCAAATCAAAATTCTTTTAGGGGAGACACAACTTCATATCATGATTATAAAGTATACCAAGTTTCAAAGAGATCGGTCAAAAAATGTAGGAGGAGATCTCTGGACAAAATTCAAATACTGAAATGAACAAAGGGCAATAACTTTTGAAAAAATTGTCAAATCAGTATTCTTTTAAAGGAGACACAACTTCATATCATGATTATAATGTATAACCAAGTTTCAAATAGATCGATTGAAAGATGTAGGAGGAGATTGCCGGCCAAACAAAGTTTACGCCAGACAGACGGACGGACAATGCCATACCATAATACTACCGTCAAATTTGACGGTCGTATAAAAAAAGTTCTTTTATTGTTATAAATCTGGGACATTCTCCTTCAAATCTGGGGAAGTGGTTCTTTTTTACTTGAGAGATTCATGAATTATATGCCAAGAATCAACATGGAAGTAAATTACGATGACAGAATATCTGAATTATCCTAATTACTGACAGTGGTAAAACCAGCATGTGCAGTTTTGGAGAAATGAACAATAAGGTACCTGCATTTTGCAAACTTCCTATTCAAATGCCTACAAGACTTGCTACTTTAATAAGAACAACTTTGTTTAATAATGTTGATAAATTTAGTTTTCATGCAATTTCTATATCAACATATGATATCTATCCTGTAATGAGTGAATTGGTTTGGTTTGTTTGTGTTTTACGTCCTATTTACAGCTGTGGTCATTTAAGGATGTGCCAGGTTTAGGTGGTGGAAGAAAGTCGGAGTTCCCAGAGAAAAACCACCGATCTTATGATGGCCATTAACTTGCAAGTAACTGCCCCACATAGGCCTCGAACCCGCAACCCACTGGTGGAGGGTTAGTGGTAGCAGAATGTCAGACGCCTTAACCACTTGGCCACCACAGCCCCCGCAATGAGTGAAGGGGGGTCAAGACATAATCAGTGATAATCAGTGATAATCAGTGACTTGAAGAAGCAGGGTGGGCTTATTACAGGACAAGGAAATAGCTGTTGGCTTTTCTTTTGAACTGCAATGTATATTGGTGGGCTTATTACCAGGCATGGGCTTCTTGTCATATACATGTAATTATGGGAAAGAAAGTCCTGCTTCTTGTTATTGTACTAATGGGCAAGGTATATACACAGGGCTTTCCACAATCTGTTCAGCATGTAGATGTTACATGCTTTGCCAGCCTAATGCAACACTTTAAAAAAATCCAGTGACATTATTTCCAAATAATACATAGAACAAAATAAGTGTACGGGTGGCAGCCATCTTTGTCAACCTAACCAAACAAAATCTTGAAGGTTTAAGCGTTACCCGATACAACACAACCTGGTAACTAAATGAATCTAAATACAGAATACAGGTAAATCAGATTTTTTTTCCTCGGTGATGGATATGCTGACTCAGATATGCATATGGACATGCATATATGTTTTACAGGAAACAGATAAGAATACCGTGTCAAAATATTACTGGTATTTTGTTCTGAAAACTTATCACATAAGCAACTTGATGCCATCAGAAAACGTGCAACACGCTGGAGTTTCAGGAAGTGGAGGACCTGGACACAGATAAGATCTGTTTTGGACGATAACAACAGAATGTAGAGTTGTTGGAGCTTACTCTAACAGAGATTAAGTCATCAACACACATGAATACTGCAACAACAGGATGCATCATGGAACTGTAGACGGTAAAACATAATGAGCCTACAGGTTCTGATGCCACGGCACACGGCCCCAGCTAGCAAAATTTGTCGTGGAAACTCTGACACTGACAAAGATTACACATTTTTCCCACCAGAAGTTACAACATTAATATTGCTGATGGGTTGACAATGACATATGTCTACCATACATATTAATTCAATCTACAAAACAATCGATTGCAACAGTAGATGTCATTTACAAGCTGATGGCCACATATTTTCGTTACATTTTAATTTTATACCTATAACAGCATTCAGGACTGATTTATAAGGACATTTTCTAGAATTTATCTTTGATAAGTCATTATTAAGAAAACCCTTTAAGCATCTAATGTTCTTCAATGTAGATTAATATAGAAATAATATCTTTCGAAATCTGAGGATATTTACCATACCAATCAGGCAGATATGTTTTTCTGCTAGTTTAATTCCTGCAATGTCATATTTATTTTCTATTTTTAACAGTTTCCCAGACATAAAACCGCTAAAAGTATCAACAAACATTGAAAAATCTGGAGCAGCCATCTAAAACGATGGATAGGTTACATAACTCGGCAGACAGTTGATTAGCAAACCTCGTCACCAATGTGGAGGATATTGGTCCACATTTTATATACGCAAACAGAAATTATGGGCCGCTCTACAATCTGCTTGGTCAGTACATCAGAAACAAAGACAGATACCAACAGACAAGAATCTAAATCAAGCAGAGATTATTCCAACCACATAATGATAATAGAAAGTTTATACACAAAATATACTGTAGAAATAATATTTCATATCACGAAAGTAATTCCCTCCCTATTTAGATGGGCAGCTGACATCTGGTATGAGATTGGCCAAATCAGTGAATCTATCGTCTGACGATTTCCAATAAAGGACCAGTGCGGTCCCTAATGAAGTGTCGCCAGCAGACCAATGAGCATTAAGATGAGGAGACAGGAAGTAAAGCCCGATACACTACATTTGTCCTTCCTCTCATACCTCATGTTACCTTTATTAGACAGGATTTACTGTCGCCATGGTTACATCCCTTTAAGTAAATATAGCCACAATTTTTGCATCTTACACAATGCATTTACCTTGGTTCCTTTTTTTTCTAATTTTTTTTTCTATTCAGACTGAAATTTAATTATCTTCCACCTTGAATTCAATTTCATTTTAAAGCTACGCCTATACAATGGTGCTATATGCTGCTGATAACATGCAAAAAACTGTTCATGATGTTGTGTATCAGAAAATTGAAGATAAAAACAAACTTCAACCTAGCTAAAATTATTGTTAGGTTATAACTGTGTTTTGCTGGGTCTTTTTTAAAAATTTCAGTTGGTTATGACTGTATCTTCCACATTTTAACTCTTTCACACCTGAAATTTCATAATGAACTATTCCAACCTCTGAATTGGAAATGTGTCCTGAGGGGTGAATGAATTAAGATGGTCCCAAATAAGTTTTCAATATTTCTGTCTTTTAGTTTCATCAGCCCCTTACAAAAGATATACCGTAAAAACCCATGTAATTTGCGCACTTTTTTTTCAGAAATTTAATACCCAAAGTGGGGGGTGCGTAAAATACACAGGTATAGAAAATTTCAAGTTTTTTTCAGGAAAAGATCGACGATTCTGGGAGATCGCCATCTTGGATTATTTCCCTTGGTACACGGAACTCTAAGGCAAATGACGGTCAACAAATTTATTTATGTCAAACATTAATAAAAGATACATAATGTGTTGTTATGTGAGTTTATGT